GGACATCATGTAAACACGGTAAGAGATATTGATATTATTCACCTGACCACCGTGACAGTTATGGACATCATGTAAACACGGTAAGAGATATTGATATTATTCACCTGACCACCGTGACAGTTATGGACATCATGTAAACACGGTAAGAGATATTGATATTATTCAACTGACCACCGTGACAGTTATGGACATCATGTAAACACGGTAAGAGATATTGATATTATTCAACTGACCACCGTGACAGTTATGGACATCATGTAAACACGGTAAGAGATATTGATATTATTCACCTGACCACCGTGACAGTTATGGACATCATGTAAACACGGTAAGAGATATTGATATTATTCACCTGACCACCGTGACAGTTATGGACATCATGTAAACACGGTAAGAGATATTGATATTATTCACCTGACCACCGTGACAGTTATGGACATCATGTAAACACGGTAAGAGATATTGATATTATTCAACTGACCACCGTGACAGTTATGGACATCATGTAAACACGGTAAGAGATATTGATATTATTCAACTGACCACCGTGACAGTTATGGACATCATGTAAACACGGTAAGAGATATTGATATTATTCAACTGACCACCGTGACAGTTATGGACATCATGTAAACACGGTAAGAGATATTGATATTATTCAACTGACCACCGTGACAGTTATGGACATCATGTAAACACGGTAAGAGATATTGATATTATTCACCTGACCACCGTGACAGTTATGGACATCATGTAAACACGGTAAGAGATATTGATATTATTCAACCTGACCACCGTGACAGTTATGGACATCATGTAAACACGGTAAGAGATATTGATATTATTCAACTGACCACCGTGACAGTTATGGACATCATGTAAACACGGTAAGAGATATTGATATTATTCACCTGACCACCGTGACAGTTATGGACATCATGTAAACACGGTAAGAGATATTGATATTATTCACCTGACCACCGTGACAGTTATGGACATCATGTAAACACGGTAAGAGATATTGATATTATTCACCTGACCACCGTGACCAGTTATGGACATCATGTAAACACACTAAGGATATTGATATTATTCACCTGGACATTATGGACATCATGTAAACACGGTAAGAGATATTGATATTATTCACCTGACCACCGTGACAGTTATGGACATCATGTAAACACGGTAAGAGATATTGATATTATTCACCCTGACCACCGTGACAGTTATGGACATCATGTAAACACGGTAAGAGATATTGATATTATTCACCTGACCACCGTGACACATCATGTAAACACGGTAAAGAGTTATGGACACCGTCAGTTATGTAAACACGGTAAGAGATATTGATATTATTCACCTGACCACCGTGACAGTTATGGACATCATGTAAACACGGTAAGAGATATTGATATTATTCACCTGACCACCGTGACAGTTATGGACATCATGTAAACACGGTAAGAGATATTGATATTATTCACCTGACCACCGTGACAGTTATGGACATCATGTAAACACACTAAGAGATATTGATATTATTCACCTGACCACCGTGACAGTTATGGACATCATGTAAACACACTAAGAGATATTGATATTATTCACCTGACCACCGTGACAGTTATGGACATCATGTAAACACGGTAAGAGATATTGATATTATTCACCTGACCACCGTGACAGTTATGGACATCATGTAAACACGGTAAGAGATATTGATATTATTCACCTGACCACCGTGACAGTTATGGACATCATGTAAACACGGTAAGAGATATTGATATTATTCACCTGACCACCGTGACAGTTATGGACATCATGTAAACACGGTAAGAGATATTGATATTATTCAACTGACCACCGTGACAGTTATGGACATCATGTAAACGCGGTAAGAGATATTGATATTATTCACCTGACCACCGTGACAGTTATGGACATCATGTAAACGCGGTAAGAGATATTGATATTATTCACCTGACCACCGTGACAGTTATGGACATCAGGTAAACACGGTAAGAGATATTGATATTATTCACCTAACCACCGTGACAGTTATGCACGTATCAACGGCAACAGCGTATTGAAGCATTCATGGTGTCCATTTACTGATATCACGTGTCAATAGAAACAAATAATTCCCTTTGCTTCAACGGCTTGTACACGGCAAACATATCTTATTCAGTGTCTGGAACTTCAAATACCTTTTAAGTCTGCCATAAAATGTATCACCTTACACTATGTTCTGTCAGTCTCAGCGACGTAGCGTGGCGTTTTGATGAGGACCACATTGCCCCTGGCAATCTGTGGCATGTCATCTTTAACATTGCACTTCCTTACTATCAAAGGCGTCTTGGCCTCGCTGGCCTGCACAAGCAACCTGCGTGCCAGCTGAACGTAGTTCACATGGTATTGAGAGCAGCACCTGTGTTACGCCGACACTGTTCACGGAGCTTCTGCCTCCAAATGACAATAAAATATGGATTAACCGTGTACAAGTTGCATGTATGTTTATTATGTAATGATGCTGCAGTAAGGTATATCAGATACGTGTCCATTTTGCATGCATGTATATTACGTGTCTATGTAGCATACACATGAGTGTATGTCACGAGCCCATGTAGTATGTGTGTATATCACATGTCAATGTAGTATGTATGCATATCAGATACGTGTCCATGTAGCATATATGTATGTCACGTGTCCATGTAGTATGTATGTATATCACGTGTCCATGTAGTATGTATGTATATCAGATACGTGTCCATGTAGCATATATGTATTATCACGTGTCCTTGTTGCATATATTGTATATCACGTGTCCATGTAGTATGTATGCATATCAGATACGTGTCCATGTAGCATATATGTATTATCACGTGTCCATGTAGTTTTATGTATATCAGATACGTGTCCATGTAGCATGTACGTATATCACATATCAGTGTAGTATATGTATATCATGTATATCAGATACGTGTCCATGTAGCATATATGTATATCACGTGACCATGTAGTATGTATGCATATCACGTGGCCATGTAGTATGTATATCACGTGTCTATGTAGTATGTATGTATATCACGTGTCCATGTAGTATATTATGTATATCACGTGTCCGTGTAGCATAAGAAAGAGCGTAAATAGACGTAAATCAGGGACATGAAGCTATTAAAGTGTTTACTCTCGATAAGACCAGCTTGCCATGGTCTCGTCGCTATATGTCTGAAATAATGTCGATGCGACGTAAAACACAACTCAACTCGATAAGACCTGGGGCAAAGTGATAGTTCAGTATAGGGTCACAAGGTTGTACCTCCAGCAGAAGTTATAGTGTGAATGAGGTACTATAAAGCACCTAACTGGAAGTCAGCTGTGCTTATCTACACGTTAATTATAGCTGACTCCTTTCTGGGGCATGTTATAGTACTACTCAAACACTGTTAAAACAGAGTTGTTCAGGCTGTGTATATAGTTAACATCGTGTTCAGTGTCCAAATACGTTTCAAATAGTATGCGGTATTCAGGTAAATTCAGAATGTGTTCATATATTTTCAGGGCTATGTTTCACCTGTGTTCAGACAGTATTGAGACAGTATTTAGATAGTGTTTGAATAGGGTTCGAATAGTTTGCACATCGAATGCAGATAGATATCACATAGATAGTGCTAATGTTGTTAGTCCATTGTCGACAGGCTCCGCCCTTGTTTGCACTGTTTCCAGATTCAGAGAGAGTACTTTATCATTCATCAACATGATTAATCTTGCAGAACGGTACATTCGACGGCACAAAACGTGAATGGTCTCATTACATCCTCCTTTGCCACAGCCAACAGCTCGATTCATAATTCATCCGACATTCTATAGTGAGTCATGTCAGCCATAACCCGCTAGCAACGCGCAGAGACATGCCGGCTGGTTTGAACTGACTTATCTGCCATATGCTGGTGTCAGTCTAAACTCTCACATGTTCAACTGAGATGATTATCGTCTCTTGTAACAAGGGTTAAGATCGAGTGAATCTTGAACATGACAACACGCATGCATGATTGAACACTCATTGGGTATATCGGGTGTTGAAGAAGCGCTTTGTCCTGCTGTAACGACATATACTGCTCCTGTTGACGTTATCTGACAAAGCCTCAATGAAATCAACAATCCTCTGAACCATCGTATATACCCAGCGGTTCTTACATCTCAGTCGGCGCTGCATCGATACGATCTGTCATAAACTTACATACAAGTATGATACATATGTATTCTGTATCTATTAGATCTGCATAGGAGTCATTCAACTCATACACGAAGAAAGTGCATGTTAAAAACAAAAGTAATCAAACACTAAGAAAGTCTTCATACCCAAAGAAAGTATTCATACACAAAAACGTATCAACGCAACAACAACATATCCATACAATAGCAACGTATCCATTCAACAAATACGTATCCATGCTGTAATAACGTATCCATGTAACAAATACGTATTATCTATGCAACAAATACGTATCCATGCAATAATAGCGTATCAATGCAACAAATACGTAGCCATGCAACAAATACGTATCCGTGCAATAATAGCGTATCCATGTAACAAATACGTATCCATGTAACAAATACGTATCCATGCAAAAAATACGTATCCATGCAACAAATACGTATCCATGTAACAAATACGTATCCATGTAACAAATACGTATCCATGCAACAAATACGTATCCATGCAAAAAATACGTATACGTATGCACCAGGAAAGCTAGCACAAATGAAAAAAAATAGACACAGGAAATATTCTCGTATATTTTGTGGCACTGATGGCAATGTTTACTTACCTTATCAAACAAAGAAAGAAATAGGTCATTAAAGTGTACACATAATGCATATCGTTCATGAACAACCACAGTCACATGAGTTTTCAGTGATGTATTTGAGATTATATTCTCTCAAGCGCCAAGAACGATACTTGCTATGCAGAGAATATTGATTCCCCTTACCTTGTTCAGCAATTGCCTTTTTCCTTCATGCATGTAGGAATCGTCAAGGACTTTGAATATCGACACACTTGTAAACGCGAAAAACATTATCATGCCGAGCAGAGACAAAACCCGGAATCCACCTCGTCTTCTTAAACATCTGTAGAGCATCTTGTTACAATGTTCCTCTGACAAAATGCGGCTGTATATCTGTGACACTGTATATCTATGACACTGTATATCTGTGACACTGTCTCACTTATATCTGTGACACTGTATATCTCTGACACTGCATCACTGTATATCTCCGACACTGTCTCACTTATATCTCTGACACTGTATATTTCTGACACTGTCTCATTTATATCTGATACTGTATATCTCTGACACTGCCCCACTGTATATCTTCAGACAACTGTCTCACTGTATATTTTCAGACACTGCCCTATCTGTGACACTGTATATCTTCTGACACGAGCTGTATGTGTCTTCAGCAACCCGTCTAACACAACCCCATGTGTCCACCAAGCATTAACTTACAGTGTTTCCTTCTCACTGCGTCACTGTACCTCCCGAGCACAACCACAAAGTCCACCAAACATAAACTCACTGCGTTTCCTTCTTGCAGCGTCACTGTATCTCAGCGACCCACAACCCAAGCACGCGTCTAACCCAGCCTCGCTGTCTGTCTCTCGCAGTCGCAGTGTATATCCCGGAGCACTTGTGAAATATACATGAACTGATAATACAACCCCTGACGATGTGTGACGTGATGAACCGTGAAACAAAGGCAAACTGCTACGTGGCGGCACGGTCAATAAATCCGTGAGAAGGGCTTGATTTCACCAGAACAAATAGACAGGTGACAGAGCAACAGTAGGATATCAATAGCCTACTTATTATGTATACAAACACAGGTGTGTGGAGTCCTAACAGGAAAAAGTAGCGCTACAGTTATTGTTGTCGCGATTGTCAGTATTGTGTCTTTCCTTTCATGTGTTTGTTGACTACAGACATGTGAGTGGTTACTTAAGGGAGTATTTTTGCCGGAGGGAATTTTCAGCAGAGCATAGATGTATAAGTACACGTGATAACAATACGTTAGATTTTGACTTTACAGTAAGTGTTAAATTAATGTTAAACATGAGAATATGTAGCATTAATAAATGGAAATTTGTTCATATACATACAATGAGTGAGTGAGTTAATGCCGAATGTAATAATAATATAAAGAACAAAAATAGCAAACACAGAAATGAGAGTCAACCAAACGAAGTGCCGTAGCAAATCAGTACAGGCTCAAAGGAAGGCTCTCTGAACCACCGCTGCACCGAGTTTGCGTGTTGAAGAGAAGAGCAGTCCTGCCGAGTCCTTCCCTTCGATAAAGTCGGCTTGCCTGAAAAGTGAAACAGAAGGCTTTCCTTTACCTATGGTGGCTGATTAGGGCCATCGCTTTCTCGCCTTAATGTATGAATTTAATGATACTGTCCCAAACCTTGTGAGTGTGTCTTAAGAGACATGATGGCATGGCTTGATCTTTTTATAACCGTCTTGGTTGTGGTTTTGACTCCGAGGCCCATGGTACGACCCAAAGTATATACAGGGAGTCATGGAAATTGACAACTACTGTCAGTATCATTTTTTTTAGAGTCATATACAGCCTAAGAAAAGACCCTGCCAACAAACCTGATATTGTACTTTTTTTTATAAAACCAATGGCATTTTAATTTTCTGTCCCTTTGGACTCGAAAAACGCTTACGAAGTGTCAGGCTTGCATCCCACCTTGTCCGATTCCCCATCGCTCTCGGTGCCCTTGGTTTGGTACCTCCTGATCTCTTGGCGCAGGTCAGGAGTGTGCCGGGAGCACAGCCTTTCTGACAATAATACAGAAGGCTGCTGTGTTGGGGATCCTACGTATACTCGGAAATGTGCCCGTTCTGGGCCTCCTTTCACAAAGCAATAAGGTGATCGTAAGTCACTAAGGTAACCTTAGTGCAATGTTAAAGAATAGGAGTTAAGGTTAACCTTAGTAAAGGTTGCTTCGTGAAAGGAGCGCCTGGGCTGCGTATAGTGGAGGCTATGGTACCTGAGCTGATGATGAGCCTAACTCGCCTGGCTGTGTCAGGACCACTCAATCTCTCTGTAAAACATGCCAGAACAATATAATTTTCAGAAAAATAGGTATGACATGTAGGTTAAGAAGACTGTGCAACAGATTGTAAGCACAAACACAGCATCTGAAGGTCGATCCTTTTATTGCCGCCTTTGTCATGCTTGTGTCATGCCTCACCCAAAACATATAGCGCATCATGGAAAATGATAATTATACATTTCTTTGTAACAGGTTCGTATACAACCTGAAGCAAACAAACCTGACCTTTCGGGGTTTTTTTTATAAATTCAATGAAAGTAAATATTATTGAATTCTCTGTCCCTTTTGGAACTAAATTGATTAAAAATATTCAGGAAAAAACATGGCAAATATGCGGACCTTGCTTGCGAAATAACCCCAAGTGTACCAGGTTGCCCGATCACTGGATTGTCTGGTCCAGACTCGATTATTTACAGACCGCCGCCATATAGCTGGGATATTGCTGAGTGCGGCGTAAAACTAAACTCACTCACTCACTCACCAGGTTGTCCGACTCACTATTGTTCTCGGTGCCTGGGTTTGGTACCCCCAGTGTGGTGGGTGGCATTAAGAGAGGGGCTGCTGCCAGCAACACAGGCCTTCTGGCCGTCTCGGTGGGGGAGGCAGATGGAGGCAGTGCCAGCACTTCTTGGGAGAAGTCCTGTTGTGTATGCTATGTGTAGAGGGGACAATGGTCCTGAGATGATGATGAGACTGATCAGCCTGACTGTGCCAGCATCAACCTAACACTCTTTGTTACATTCATTTATTTTAATCTGTAAATGATAATTATATTAATTGATAAAACAATACAAATCTTAGATATGCTATGATATATGATATGATATGATATATGCTATATGTGACATGACATGACATGACATAACATGACGACAACATGACTTGACATGAAACGACACGACACGACACGACACGACATGACATGACATGACGTGACATGAGACAGAACGCGATAGCTTTACTAACAAGGGCTTAACAGTATAACATTTAAACTGTTAATGGTACGTGAGGATTCATAAGAGCACCTGCAAAATAGTGAGTGAGTTTGTTTTACGCCGCACTCAGCAATATTTCAGCTATATGGCGGCGGTCTGTAAATAATCGAGTCTGGACCAGACAATCTAGTGATCAACAGCATGAGCATCGATCTGCGCAATTAGGAACAGATGACATGTGTCAACCACGAGGCTGACCACCCGATTCCGTTAGTCGCCTCTTACGATAAGCATGGGTTACTGAAGGTTCATTCTAACCCGGACCTTCACGGGTTCATGACATGACATGACAACATAACATGACATGACATGATATTATATGATATGCATTAAATATGATATATATTCTATTGGTTCACAGTAGGTTTTGTCGTTCTTTTACCTTGTTAAAACATATACCGTGTAAATACGACACGTCACACCCTTTCTCATTTTCCTGTTACGATAGCTACACAACTACTGGGTTTTGTGGATAATAGCACTCTTATAAATTTGTCCACAGAACATGTCTCTTACAAGTATGTACAATACAGTGCTATAATGTTACAGTGTTTTCATTGAAGCCTCTCGCATATGTTGCACTGATTTTCTTTTCATGTCAGTGTCTATGTGCGACAGGTGTACATATATCTATTAAACACCTAAAACCACATTTACGGTTAGTGTCTTTTGGTCGTTTTTTTTTAAATTTACGACTGTGTCACCTTTTATCACGTCGAGGTGAGGACAATAGAAATCTTCGACATTGCGATGAAAAATGAATTGTAAATATACTGACTTTTATCAGATTGAAATACAAAGTGTTGTGTCGTACAGCAGCTGTTGTTGTATTGATGTTGAGATTAATATCAACCTTCTCCTCGGACATACGTGACAATACGAAAACGAGGATTCAAATTTCCATGGTTCAATGAAATGTGCTTTAGTTGCCTGGGCCACTCGGCAGTACTGTGACTTCCATTAAGACGTTAACGAGGACCCTACAGCGTCACTGATAGACATCCACATATCTGAGGTTCCATATTCGCCATTATACCTTCAGGCGTGCAATCTAATTGCTAGCCTGTCGTACAGACCCTGAAGCATATATATCCAAGAAAGCCAACGCAAGTCTAGAAAATGTGGCAAGTCTAGATTTCCTCAGCTTCAGGTCTCAGGGCTCCTTTTCATTATATTATTTTTTTTTTTTTACTATGAACTTTTTTCAGTAAAATATGTTCATTTCAGAGATTAGTTGTTAGTCTATCTAATCGCCAAACACACACGATGTGGCTAATTCGAACATGATCGAGTTATAGCCTAAATACACTTGTAAATGTACAGAAAGTGACCTATTGTAACTCAGTTGAGTTCAAATGCAAGGTAGACGACGAGGAATAAATTACAGGCCGTGGTATATAAAAAACCGCGATTGGAGCTCCGTGGTGTATTGAACTACTGTAACAGGTCCATACTATACTCAGGAAGCGCTATTTAAGGCCCGTGGTGTATTGAAGAACCGCTTTTACAGACCCGTTGTATATTCAAGAAAGGCTACATAAGAGGCCCGTAGTAAACTGAAGAAACACTACTATAGGACAGTCAAGTCAAAACATTGATTACACAACAGTCTCGTTTCCTGTTGACTGGGTTCCGTCCTATTTCGCAACAGTACAATAACCAGTCCAGAATTTTAGGAACAATTCATTTAACTGGATACATAAATATTAATCAGTATTATTTGATACATCTAAGCACTGGTATATTGCAACACTACGCTCCTTATAATCCTTGCAAACATGTCGTGCAGCGAGCACTGACAAAAAGAATGCTGGAAATCCTGGAAATCTCAAAACGAGGCTCTGCCGATAGAAACGTTTGGCGGTCTGGTACGGACTTGATATTATATCAATCACATTGTGCGTTACAGAACTACACTGAATAAGCGCAAAAAACACATAACAGGTGTAACCAGTGAACCAGATGCTTTGTGAATCATTTTACGACCTCATCAAACTTGGGCTGTCTTTCACGTCTTAGTTAAGGTCATGTTGCCTACACCGCGCCATAAATTATAGATATACGATGTTATTAAATTTTAAAATTAAAATTCGTTTGTAAATACCATTTTCTTATGAAACAAGAAATTGGAATTCAGTGTAACCATAGTTGTTTGTGATGTCTATTTTCACTTTCACACGAGATCGGTGTATTGAAGAACCACTTTCAAAGACCCGTGGTATATTGAAGAGACACTATTATAGACACGTAGCATATTAAAGAAAGGTTATTACAGAGCCTTGAGTGGTATATTGAAGAAACACAATTACAGACCCGTGGTATATTGAAGAGACACTATTACAGACCCGTGGTATATTGAAGAACCACTTTTACAGATCAGAGGTAAATTGAAGAAAAACTATATTAAGCCCTTTTGTATATTGAAGAAATTTTATTACAGAGCAGTGGTGTTTTGAAGAACCAATGTTACAGACCCGTGGTATATTGAAGAAAGGCTATTACAGAGCAGTGGTGTATTGAAGAACCAATGTTACAGACCCGTGGTATATTAAAGAAAGGCTATTTCATAGCAGTGGTATATTGAAGAACCACTGTTACAGACCCGTGGTATATTGAAGAACTACTATTACAGAGCAGTGGTATATTGAAGAACCACTATTACAGACCCGTAGTATATTGAAGAAACACAATTTTAGGCCTTTGGTATATTGAAGAAAGACTATTACAGAGCAGTGGTATATTG